TTTCTAAATGAGTACAGTTCATTAGACAAAGGCCGGTTTTGGGCGAATAACGGAGATCCCTATTCGGCGTTTTCATTTGAGCGTATAAACCCTAAACAATCAACAGCTTTAGCCGAAAATTAGCTATCTTGTTCATTCTCAGGTTGAGCTGAAATATACCAAGGTTAAACGAAGTTTGAGTTGGGGCTTTTTCAGGAAGATCAAATAACCCCAGAATATTACTCCAGAACGCCCAAAACCTACTGAAAGTCTAAGACCACCGAAATCTCTATAGAGAAGTCGGCAAGGATACCGGCCTGTCAAGCGCTCAATCACTCAGTCAATCAATCAATCAACCAATCAATCAGTCGATTCAGTAACATACTGGATCAATGAAAAGTGAAATTCAAGACATTGCGGGGTTCCTTGCAACTGTTGCACTCGCTCAGTGCAATGTAGCCTTCATTTGTCTTGTTGGCACTAAGGCGCTCGACTGTGGGACACAGTAAGTTATAACAACCGCAGAAGGCATTCAGAGTGAAAATAGTGAGACACTACCTTAGTCTTGGATGTGATTCCATCCAAGATATCTCAAGCAACTCCGTTACTGCTTTAGGATAACGTGTACCGTAAAGCTGTTCCATTCCCATTAGGAGAAAAACGAGTCAGCAAAATAGTCAAGAATGTATTAGTTAAGTCACCCCTAGCTAAATGAATACTATTCGAAAGTGGCAGAGTTCTGATCTAAATGGATCATGGCACAATGACACAAAGTTGACACCTCCAAAAACCGAGGAAATGACGCCTCTCTCCTGAGAGGAATGCTGATTGATGCTCCTCCACATTACAGTAAACGGTACTCAAACGATTTGGGGGAGATTTGTTCCCATTGTGTACCTTAACTCTATGAAACAATCCAAAATTATTTTTTCAATGTGTGCCAAGTTAAAGGAAAATCCATACGGTTGCGGAGAAGAACTGCACCCAACATCAACTTCCTGCTTCTAACCCAGTGAAATTCAACATGGCGAGGCCAAACATTACACAGTTTCGGAGAAACTATTTCTTGAGACGAATTAATTAAGTTCATGTCTGTGTGGTGAGGAATGAACACAAATTCAGTGAGATGAATCAGCCCCGACGTTCTACACAACAGTTGTCCACCATGTGACTTGATTGGTAGTTTGGAAACAAACCTGTTCCCGGATTGCTTGAGGGCCCTGAACTAGCTACTGGCTTCGGAGTGGCGTGATATGATTGAGGGGACTCCAGTTGTAACCACCTCGCCGTTCAACACAATATCACTGACAGCAACATCATACAAGAACACTGGTGCGTCTTGCTCGTGCCATCACTTCAATTTATTTGAATAAAACCTCGGAGTGGAAAGAAGGAATTACTGGATCAGAACGAGGTCCCAGGCCTGGTCCAACACAAATACTCGAGGTGTTTACATCTTCAACACTCAGCCAGACAACATGAATAGAAAATTACAGCATGGACGTCACTGGTGTCAGCTGGCTGCCATATAGTCCAGTGTCTTCAGCCAAGCAACATTCAGATGAACACTCTCTGGAATTTGGCCTGTTATCAACATATTCGAATAGATTCGACTACGACATATTGATATCGTCAACTCCGATTATGCCAATTTGTTCTGGTTGAACAGCTTATCCTCAAACCCTTCACAGCACTATTGAGATACCTGGTGTGAGAACAGAACAGGCATAAACTAGAATTTTCCAGGTGATGATACCAACTTATCTTGCAGTTCTATCTAACTGGTTGCCAATAGGTTGTCTTTGGTGAGAGATTCCCCGGCTCACTCATAAAGTCCCAAAGGATCTGAGGTGTCAGTGTACCCAAATAGGGCATTTCAGTTATGTATACCGCGTAATTATGTGCAACCAGCGGCCAACGGGTCATGAAGTAAACAGCTGTAGCGTGAGATGTGAAACGATCGACTACACTACAGCTATCTCGAAACACCCAGTTATATTAAAAATTTTAAAGAAAAATAAATACCGAGTCGCATAGAAAATCACTTGTGGAACCCTTCTAACCCTTATTTGTTCCTTATTTGTTTCGTATTTGGTAGGTTTGTATGAGCGCTGGACTAGTCATCAGCAGTCAGAGGAACTGCCGAATGTGCGCGCGAATTTCGTGCTGGTGTGCTGTACAGACCGTTAATGACAAAATGAGCCAGATGAAATATCACTTTTTTGTTATATGTCGACAGACGTACGTCTTATAGTCACAGATAGCCAAGACGTTGTCGAGCTTTAGAAAGCTTGGATCGTAAATCACAGACGCGACGGAGAATAACTATCGTTCAATAATAATAAATATAAATCGTTCAGCTGTAACATCCTTCCGGTGCCCAGCTGCCATGCTACCCGAAGGAAGCACGAGGGCTGGGATACTGCCAGGTTGCCCAAGTGCTAGACAGGGGAAGTCGAGAGGCAGAGCGGGTTGGGTTCGAACCACGGACCCTCCGGCAGTAAATTCGCGCTCTAACCACTCGCCCAATAGTTTGCGCGATTTCAAACTACTTGCTAGGTGAGGCATAATGCATGCGCATAGTTGTGCGGAAAAGCCGGGTACCTGGGTGCTTACAGGCGATGTGTTAACGACTTGCGTTATTTTCAACATTATTGGGAAAGCTGGACCGAAGAGAGATTCAGCAAGTTCATTACTCCCACCTCGGCACCTTTTCTTTCCGTGAAGATTCTGATATTGAGTAACAATTTATGACCTAGTGGTGTTCTATGTCATTACTGAACACTCAGGCAGCGAGCTGATTGGTGGTACCCACATAATGGAAGCGACACAATGTGTGGAGCCCGCTTCACACTTCAAAGGTTATAATGGGCTGCCAAGATGCTGGACCGCCCACGGCGTGTTGAGTGACTTCTGTAAACAATCACAATACGGCACTACTTACGCTTTCAGTGAAGCCTTTATCTCTATGACCACACAGTTTCTTTTTCGTTGTAAAGTCTTTTTTTGCTTGGATCATTTTGGTTCCTCTGATAAGCGATCATCAGTTTTCTCTCCAGCTATGATCAACCAGGACAACGGTGAATATAAAACAGTCCACCTAAGCGGTCAGAAAAGCGCCCAGACAGACAACTGACTGAAAATCAACCAAAGGGCACACTGCACAGATCATCATCATCATCATCAACAGCATGCACAGATAATATCCTGAGGGTATTTGGTTTGAACAAACTTAAAAGCGTGCGGAAATGCAAACACTGGTCACTAGGAAACTGGTCTTGGGTTGTTGACGAGTTTCCTTCAAGAAAGACACATACTACGATATCTCGGATAGTGTACAAGCTGAAACATGGCGCGGACTTTGGGCAACACATTAAGTTGAAGAATACCGTATGGTCAGCTTGAATTCAGCTGGGTCCCCCGTTAAAGTCAGATTAACATGCAAATGATTACATTTCATGAATACTCAGGATCGTTCTAATTCAACCATAACACTGGCACATTTCAGTCGGGTAAGTTGTGAAAATAAGAACCATCGCTTCTTGGCTTTTTGTGCGTTATTTAATTTGGGAATCAGTTTAGTTGTTGTTTGCCAAACAAAATTTTTGTGTGACCAGAAGTTTGCCAAAGTTTAATGTTTAATCGTCTGACTCAGCGAAAGCTTACGTGCGAGCTTCAGCTCTGTCTTGCAAACATAGTTGTGTTTGACTACGAATTTCCTATTCTGTCGCTCAACATTACATAGCATCATCATGATTAGCAAGGAAAGAGTTGATCAACTATTGCTAGCGTATAAAAAACTGGGTACTGTGCTACATGCGTAGGGAAATCTCTGAAGAATATTGCCTGACCAAAGTTTCGGAAAACTAAGGGTGGCAAGAAACTAAGCGACTGGTGGTTTTTACTAAATTCCGAGAATATGACGAAGTAAATCGGAACGATACTTTCTGCGTCATCCGTAAGGTTTATAGATCTCTCAGAGAGTAGAAAAAAGATGAAATTTTGGATGGATATCAACTAAGACTTGTGAAAAAATGAACTGCGATGTTACGATACAAAATGAAACACCATCCAGGTGAACCGTTCAGCTGTTACACCCTTCCATGCCACAGGAAGGAAGCACGAGGCCCGGGATACCGCTGGGTTGCCCAAGCCTAGACAGGGAAAGTCGAGAGGCAGAGGTCGGGTTCGAACCACGGGTCCTCCGGTCAGTAAATTCGCGCTCTAACCACTTGGGTCATCTCGCTCCATCCAGGTGAATGTTTTAACTATCAAATATTCGTAATTCAAGGTATGTCGTTGCTCATCCTCTCCGATGGAATGCCCAGTTCTCAAAAACAACTCCTGTGATGGTGTTTTATATGCCTCCTAAAGTATGGACAAACTTCAGTACAAAGACTTGAGGAGTTGCAAGTTCTTTTAGTCAAAAATGAACAGGGAAAATCGAGAGTAACGTCTGATCTTGGAATGATAGCTCACGCACCTTATTGTCCCCTGCTAAATGTTTTTTCCGATTACTGCCTGTTTATTTTTCATCCCAGATATATTTGTCAAACCCTGCTTGCACTGTGAAGCAACTTTGTCCCCTTGGCTCAAAATAAATAAGAAATTTGAACTCAACCTTGTATTAGAGTAACAAACTAGCGTATGATACATCAAATTCCTTTAACAAATTATTGGCCGCGAACATTTTTTCCACCGAGATCCAAGTTCACCACAATGAACCGAATTCCAGCAGCAGCTCGCCAATCGATGTTGTGCTGATTTAATTTCGATACACAGGAAGACACCACTAGCTCAGAGATTCACGGCTTGATACTAGTGGCTGACTTGTTCGCCGGGCCCCGGAAGTGTGTTACTGACGTTTCATCACTAATCGGTTCACCGACATTTAGGTCGAAAAGGTCCCTTTGAACTTTAGTGATAGTGAACTAAGCATCCGTTAAATAATGGTATTTTTACTATAATCTATTCAATGAGCGAGATTGGCCTGTGAACTGCATTTGCCCTGTCTATTTTAGCAAATGATGAAAGCCCCGCCAGACCTCCAAAGATGTGTAAACCAAAAACCTCGGTAAGCTGTTCGACGGTGTGCGATTGTTCAATGGATCGCGCTGCAAACTGCCAACGGCATGAACTAACTAGTGTGCCACAAGATTTGCCGAGTGAAATTATGGAACTGTGAGTTCTCCCACTTGACACGAAAACCCGACGTTAAAATGTGCCTTCTTGTGTGAACATAATTTCCGTATACTTTTTCTGTTATCTTCTTATTGCAGGAACTTGGCTCACAATCACATTGAAACCCTAAATATAAGCTCCTTCCAAAACTACAGAAATTTGAGAAAAATGTAAGTTGATGTTCACATGAATGCCTTCTCTTTCCAAGTTATCCATACCCACTGAAAGCTGCAAGGAAACAACCCCGGATGCCGCATACTTTAGGACCTCAGAAGCTGGTTCTTGTTTCATCAGGTTTTCTCTTGAACTGGGTATTCACGTTAATTTATTCCGCTCGGTTCTTGTCCATCGCTTTCTGTTTATTTATACATTCACATATGTACGGACATGGTTATACGATCGCGCAAATGAGTGTACTTAGTTGCATCCTGTTTCGTATGATGCACTTTCTGTTTGTGTACTTGCATCTTTAAACTTTTGGAAGAATGTCCGTAACCTGCCTATATTAAACCGTCCTGGTGAGGCGTGTGGAAGCGGTAGGTTGGCGTACATCGTGTACATATAGATGAAATTGAACTCGAGGCAGTCTGTAAACCTTCCAACATCATAAACGAGAGGTTATTCTGGGTTTAAGGAGAGTCTCCCGTCAAAACCAACTTGGTATCCAAACAAATGTATTTTGCCAACTCTGTAAACCTGTTATCACGCCCACAGGTTAGAAAGATATAGAATATAACTCGACTGCTTAACGATTGATTTTAGCTACGTTCATCAAACCCCATTTCAGTGCATTTGCACGTACCTGGCTTTTAATGGAGTAGTTCATTCAGGGTCTTTAATGCAGACACCGGGGACAGGTGAGATGTGCGTAATCATGAGGACAAACAAGAAAAGCAAAATCTTGGAAAATGTTTTTCGGTCAATATCTAAATGGACAGCATCAAAAGAATGGTATCAGCTTGTGTATATATGCATAGATTAGCGCCGCATGGATAATTTTCGTATAAACTGTTTTTTTTCGCACACAGTACAGGGTTAGGTAGTAGTGCAACGACAGGTACTACTGATGGGACATGTGAGTAGTATGCTGTCTTAACGAAAGTCCGCTTCGCATTTAACTGAAGGTGGGATTTATTACGGAAGTTGTGGAAATACTTTGCGGTATTCGTTTACAATTGCGTGATGGTCAATGAATATCCAGGAAAATTCCAGGAGATCAGTTTTTTAACAACAAAATCCACATTAGAGTTTCATTTTCCTGTCCAATAGTTTGTGGCCGTTCAGTTAGTGTCTTCTAATAAACAACTCCGCATCGAAGGGCTTTCCTAATTTCAGTAGCGGTAGTGAGAGCTGGCTTGTCTGTTGATTAGACCTTGAGATTTGGTAAGCCATGTGGCGTTTTGGGTTGCTGGATCACGAGGTCCGTCAGTTGGTGAAACAATTGCTACTCAGTTCCCGGACTTGTTTTGGATGGCAAAGTAAACCGATTTGCCTCCCACCGACGGAACCCGAGACGACATACACCTAGTTCTTGATCGACAGGTGATAAAGCTATTGAGAAATAGCTGGATGTGTCTGAACTTCCAATGTATGAATGAGTAGTCTTTACTGACAGGTGCATATGATGATCTGTGTGTTTCGATTTGTTAGGAACCGAATGATGTTTGGATGCATTTTGGAATAAGGTCCTAATTCCGTTAGTAGTACGGAAGGTGTTTCAGAAGTGCCTGGTAAACAATAGGTAATTTTTAGCTGGGCAACGTTTCGCTGCTGACACAGAAGCTTTTTCTGGCCAAGTGAGCAGGTTACCAACTTGGTTAGGCTTTAGAGCAAACGGAGAACTAATCAGCAAGACCTCCTCGGATTAGCATACTAAATCGGTGGTGAATGTCAGCTAAAGAATCTTGTCGGTTAGTGTGGTTGCCTAGTTCCTACAGATGATCATTTTTGATCAGGTTCATGTCCCTGATCTTTCGGTTCAAGACGCCTCAGTTAATGGTACACCTTGGATTCGTTCGTAAGTGGTACGAAGATTCAGTTGGGGGGAGGTCAGGATTACGTAGAACTTTTGGCCGGTTTGATCCATGCTATTCAGATCTAAGCTCAGTTCGGTTGACCTAAAGCCCTTCTGAAACAATGGCTTCCGAATCGGTTCCAGACTTTTTTCAATTGTCTAGAAAAACATTTGGACGGCGGGTTTAAATTTTACACCAAATGGTCCCCAATAATTCGTCTTGTCTTAGGGTACTTTTATGCTTCTCTAATGGTTAGATTAACTAAAAGCCTGCTAGAAGTTCTCTGATAAGTCAAAAACCTTCACCGCTGAAGCCACATTGAATTCCATTAAAATGATGTTACCCTACTCTCTTTTGCCCGCAGTTGTTTACCCCATGTGAATTTCAGTATGTGATAAAGTCATCTTCGTGCGAGACCTTGGGACTCCACTTCATCCCTCGTTGGCATATGATGGAACTTTTTGTTTTAGGGTGGAACAAACTGTAGCGCCCGTCATATCTCTCAAATCGTAAGAAAAGAAGCAAAGAATCATAGCAAAGCACAACCACTAACCCGCCGCTACGCACCACTACGCTCCCCAAAAACGTACTGACGATGTCACTTCTATCGGTGATGAAACGTTTGCAATCAAATTGCCCATCTGAGCAAACAAGCCAACGACCAAACCACTACTATATCCACTCGTGTTTTTTACCGACCAAACCTCCACCATCATTTAGGTTTACAATTTAATTGTGATCTGATGATACCAAAAAAATGCACAATTTTGTTTGCTGCTCTTATTAGGATACAATTATTCCGCATAGCCAAGCGCCAGATTCCGAGATTCCCATAATCAAACCAAACTGAGGCTCAGATGATTTGTGATTTTCGTAGGCAGAAGTACTGGCGTCTTGCAGGCCAGGTGCGGTGTGCAAATGTTGTAGACAGACAAAGTCGGTAATTTCACAGTATCTGTGGGGGGGGGGGGGTTCAAACACCTGGATAGGTTTGGAATATTCCTGTTTGGAAATTTGATAATCAGTAGTCGGGGACACAGTTTTACTCGAGGTTCTCATAAATAATGCACTGTTCGACTATGTTTAATCTAACCAGATAAAGTAAAAATCGTCCGGAAGAGGGGCTTTATTTAAGTCAGATTCACCATCTGCGCCCATGCGCCTGGTCTTAGAATAACCAGCCGTAGTTATTTATCGTAAGAACCGTTTAAACGATTCCATTCTTACGCACCTGAGGAATCCCGTTTACCGTGTAACTATCATTATTAACACAACAGGGATGTTTCATTGGGAATTTCTCCGTGAAGGCAAAAACCAATCAATGCTCAAAAGCCGAGAAGAACTGTGTAATTGCTTCATCTTTTAAGGAATCGTCAACAGTGCGAATCCCACGAAATTACTAGGATTCTCAAACCCGCGACTTGCCGGCTAGTAGTTTGAACCGTTCGGCCACGAGGCGTTTCGAAACAGCTTGTCGGATTTTCAGCAATAAACGGCCTCACTGACAAGATGATATCTGCGTTAAAATTCCAAAGTCCTCTCATATCATCAACCACTGGGACAATTTGCTTTGTCTGCCACCTTGTTATGATGCTCATCTGAGTTGCTCGCAGACAAGCTCTCTGTGGGTTCAAATTCTGGACGTGAGATTATGCTCCAAACCGGTGTCAACTAACGTCATGATATGAATGCTCGTGGAATAGTCGAACTTCCGAAGATCTGAGCCGGAAACAATGTAACAGAAAACGTTTAGTTCGAGTTTTTATAAGCACCTGCTTCCTGTGCAACTCAGGGTAAAAACGAATGCTAGAGTACAGTACGGTTCACTTCAAAAGCAGCGCACCCACCATTTTGTTATACCGGCTGGGGCTATTTCCCTTTGAGCGGCTCACTTTACTTTGGTCTCACAAACTTTATGATTGGATTACCGGACAAGATCCAATCCACCTTACAAAAGACACTCTTTGCTACACTACCCCTGCCACCTATTTTGGCAAGCGAGATATCCGAACACTGTTTATACTGGCAATCAACTTCTTTTCAGTTCCGTCACTTGTTTGTAAAACAACAAATCACTAGATCAACCAAGGGATGTGGGCTCATGGTGATTAGGTTAATATTCCTCTAAACCTTGCGAGCACAGACAGTTCTGAAGATCCAGCAAAGTTGCTCAGGTCCTTAAATGATCAGGTCGTGACAAATAGTGTGATCGGTTTCCTCAGCTAAAGAAAAATTCCCTTCAGCAGACGGCATCTCACAGGACCCTGCTGCGCGAGTGTAAGTTGTTACTGATTACGGAAGTAAGGCGTACATGATCATCAAAACCTATACCGCGACTTCACCTACTTGAAGAAATGCCCGTAATTTACACCCGGATCTACTGTTATGGTGATGAAAGTATGAGAGAACATCATCATATTTTTTGTATTCTGTTCAAGTATAAGGGGTAGGGTAGTTTACCAAGTAATCTATATTCAATACTTTTTCATACATAATGGTGTGTACGCGGTGATGAATCCGAGAACGACCAATCAGAAGAAGATTAGAGACATTATGATGAATAGAATCAGATCAGTCTTAGGACCACGATGGAAACCACAGTTCATTGGATGAGATTGCCCGAGGTCCCCAGTAGCATCCCATGTTCATTGCATGAGAGCACTGTTCCAAACAAAGTCAACTAGATAGAATACTCTACTGCGAATTTTATTTAAATTCGTTAATACTGCACCTTATAGACACAAAAACTTGATTACCTGAAATCAGGTTTACCAGGTTGTCATGCGGAAACAAGGCTTTGGTCAATCTTTCCGAACAGGCACCTCCCGCCAAAAGCAACCCTCTTAATTAGGTCTCATAAAAGGTAACTACTTGGGGGTCCACCATATATCAAGATTTTTCTCTGATCACCAAACGTCGATCCACTGCAAGCGTGATCAACATCAAGTTTTGATGCAATAAATATTATACTGGATGCAAGGATAGATAGGAAGCTGTTCATCGTATAACCGACAACCGGGAAGCTTATCTAGCATTTGAGGTTTACAACTTGATTACGACTCTATACAATATACACATTGGTTAGAGCGCGAATTTGCTGACCGGAAGGTCCGTGGTTCGAGGCCGACCTCTGCCTTTCGACTTCCCCTGTCTAGGCTTGGGCAACCTGGCAGTATTCCAGCCCTCGTGCTTCCTTCGGGTGGCGTGGCAGCTAGGCACCGGAAGGATGGTACAGCTGAACGCTTGTAAATTTAATCAGTAATATCGACTATGATAGATTAGATCAGTGCACTTTCGGACCTTTCACACTTGAAGTAGTTCCGTCAGTAAGTGTTGATAAAATATTAGGCTTAGGTACGACCGGCTGACAAAGGTGAAACCCCCCTCACCTTCAGTTTGCTACTTTGATGCACATTTTTACAAACCTCGGTGACGCAGCGTTGAAAGCTTGGGTTTTCTCTCCACACTCAATGCGTCTAATGGGCCATGAATTCGTAAGCCATTAATTTCATGGTCCACCCATTTTATACGCAAACTGTTTAAAACATTTATCTGTCACATCTTGTGAGATGGCTCAATGGTAAGAGCGCGAATTTACTGGCCGGAAGGTCCGTGGTTCGAACCCGACCTCCGCCTTTCGACTTCACCTGCCTGGGCTTGGGAAACCTGGCAGTACCTCAGCTGTCTTTTTTCCCTCGGTTGGGACACCAGCTAGTTAGGAGCGAGGTGGCTCAGTGGTTAGAGCGCGAGTTTACTGACCGGGAGGTCCGTGGTTCGAACCCGACCTCTGCCTCTCGACTTCCCCTGTCCATGCTTGGTCAACGTGACAGTATCCCTCCCCTCGTGCTTTCTCTGGGTGGCATAGCAGCTAAGCACAGAAAAAGGTGTTGCAGCAGAACGATTTTTTAAAATTTTTATTATATCTTGTGAAATTTCCACTTGATTCCAGAGTCCTAGACAGCAATCGTATATCACATGTGGACCCGAACACGTTTTCACATCTGAAGAAACTGTCCTCACTGTGAGTTTATGGTCATCACATAACTCTTTCGGAAACAATTTGAACCGTTAACCTTTTTCTCCATTTACTGCGGTTGTGGTTTATGGTGTTGATTCGTCCATTTCGTTATCCGTTGTCAATCAAATTCAAACTTGACCAACGAGTAAATATGGCGAAAAACAGGCCTTCGGAGTGAGAGGCAACCGAAGGACAATACGTTTCAAAACTGGATGTTCTGAGGTGTGGATCACCTCAAGAAAGTCGCCAGTACAGGTGCAGCACAGAACAGTCCGGAACTTGTGAAAAATTGTCGCCTACGTGACAGAATTCTTCCTTTTCTAGAGAACTTAATAAAGTAACCCCTTCACCTGTCGGACGTAACGGGCATTGTACTTGTCTCTTTGCAGTAATCCCAAAGGAGGATATCCACCAGAAGCCCAGAATGGAACATCTTTCTACATTAGGCAGTCAAACCTACATCGTTGACAACTTTATGCGGGAACTTCATTCTACAGAACTGAACTCTATGGACCCGTGTGGTCATAGACTAGTACGGTTTGAGCAAGTGTAAATGACATGGATTAGAGGCTGCCTATTGTTCGATGGGCTCTTTCCGCGGAGGTCGCTATTCAGACCCCATTTGATTATGGGCGTGAGTATCTTCCAGGAGGTCGAAGACAGCATTTCCGATTGCATATGAAGCATTTCTACACAAGTAAACGCATTTCGTACAAACATATAGACCGTGAGCTTCGTAAGTGAACCCGGTGAGGGTTGTTGTCCAACTCACAGCAAGTACAAGGGGTCAGTGGAATCAAATGGTGAATGGTGTCCCTTTATTCTGGTTATAACTCACATTTGAGTCTTCTGGGAAGTATCTAGTTGGATACGAGTCTGGTTGTGAATACAATCACGACAGAGTACCTGTGTAACATTGTACGGTGCGCTGTTTTAGTCATAAGGATTTGAAACGTCTTGGTGACTCCCTCTCCATACATACCGACATTACTTTACAGATATATGAGTTCAAACAAACTCCAACTGTTGCCACCAGGACTCTTCGTCGGGCTGGACAGTTTGCGGATATTGTAAGTAGTATGGAAACAATCGTCTTTTCTTTTCATATTTGTAGTTATTTACTTGGTAAAATAATTTTCTTATGTAACCTTAAGGGCAGAAGATACTCGTATCAACCTAGCCGATCGAGCTCTATCTGTCCCATGCCAGTTTTGAGAATTTACCCAAGGAAAGACCTGAAGGATATAGCCTAATCATAACGGAGTGTTCTCTCGTCTAGCAGTTTGCGAAGTTAGAAGGCTACAATAGGAACTGCAGTTTTTCACTTCTCAGCTGAATAAACAATGGACGAGCATTTTCGGAGCTGTTTCACTGATTATCTTATGCTTTGCTCGCCAGTCACTGCAAAGGAGTCCGCGAAATACTACGATTTCCGAGACATGTGTCTAAGGTTGACAAATCTAGCGCCAAGAGTGGCAATTCATGTGCATTGATCACTTCTGCTACAAAACTTCCGGTAGTTCAAGTAATCATCAACCAGCCAATCCACTCCAGCACTTGAGTAGAACAAAACCGGTTTAGACCAAATCTGTTTAGACCGATGTGTTCACCAACCAACTCGCGCTGAGTATATTTAATTGGAGCGGAAAGGTCCTCAACCCTAATCGCAACTAACATTGGCCCTTCACGTCACGCAAAGTTATTAGCGAAGATAGCAGTGACAGGTGAGAGCGAACGACGAGTATTTTTAGAAATGTCTGAGTTACTGCAAGGCGCATGGATGAACTATGCTGTCACACCGATGGAAAACAGTTCGCCAGTTTCGTGCACCCGTTTCAAACAGATTAGAGGTAGTTGGTTAGTGTATCGCTGTTGGCAATCAGATGGTAGTTGATCTGTTCGTCGAGCTTGGCAAGCGGTTAGCGAACGTCTCGCCCCCAGTCGAGGAAGCATCTTCAGTGCGCAGTTGAGTTGAGTTGGCGAACCAACTTCGAAGTTCCGCAGCCAACACAATACACATCCGAGCTATCTATCTTTCACAAACGCTCAGTGCATTGTATTGCGGATATAGTGTCCCAGAAAGAATGGCGCTGAGGATCTTCAAACTCTTAGGGTTCAAAATGGTGTTTTCAGCCCGGCTGATAACCAAAAACCACTTCCAAGCCATCTACAATGTGACATTTTGTTAAGCCTCATTTGTGTTTGTCTAAATTTAATATATATTGTGATCAATGTTTTTGGTGAAAACTCCGGCTGATGCTAACATAAGCCCAACCGTGCAAGTTTGGTGGTTGTCAATAGGTCAGTCTTAGGGCTTACCGAGCAGTAAAAGCTCAAAATAATGCGAGTCGAATTTCTGAAGTTCACATTGGGGGGTGATCACTTTGCTGGTACAAACCGACCCTGAGGAATGAAAATTCTGAGCCCTCTAGAAATTGAACTCGGAGAAGAGTTCATATCCAGTAGGTTATCCTACCGTCGGACAAATGCCTCGCCAACTAGACGGGTATGGTCCGTGAGTCGACTCATTAATTCACCCGTGCAAGGGGGTCACCCAGTGACAACAACTGGACAAATAACGAAACATTCGACTGAACAAACAAGTCAACAAACAAACCGAGCGAATGAATGGTAGATTTGCTTGTTTACTCGCGTGGTCCCTTCAGGTTGATTGAAATCTGCGTGGACAGAAATGTTTCTGACGCTATTCCTATTTTTGTTATCTTCTATTCTAATCGCAGTTGTGGCGTTGCTGCTGTTTCTTTCCCATTTTCGAGGACTTCTCCTTTGAATGTTTATAAATGGGCTTTTCAGGCTCGCATTTTTAGAGTATCAGTGTTAAGAACGCACGCTTTAGATTAATAATTTAACACCCGGTTACCTTATCGTTCCACGAGTTGCGTAACACCGTTACAAAATACCTAGATGATAAACTGGATGTACTCCAAAGGTCTTTCAAAAGTAGAAAAAATTGATGGTCGCATCTCCGAGAATACGAGATGCGTTGGTTCTTCGTAATACGTCCCTTCTCCGGACAAACCCCAAGGCATTATGGGGCAATTATTTGGGTCTGTCACTATTCTTACACTCTAGTGAGTGTAAATGAAGTTGAATCATTTTTGGCGAAAAAAATGACCGGTGCGCATTTCTTGATTTAGCTCATGCGGTTGACTGTGTCCAAAATTTGGCCACTTGAATGCAGACGAGTTCATTCTGAAACCTACATCCAACAAGCAGCAAACCAATGGGGCTTGGAAATTAATAAAACATGTCGTGGTTGGTTCTCAAAGGATGAGCCAGCAAGGCATTCGTCCAGACTAAACTTCATCAGGCAAGTGTGTTCGGATTGGTCGAAGTGAACGGTCATCGCCATCTGCCGAAGTACCACACTTCACTTCTTAGTCATATGAGCTTGGTGGTCACCAAATCTGATTGCATGGACTAAACCAGTAAATCACGTGATTCATATTCACCACACCCTCAAATATGTTTAGTGGGTTGTGGTGAAAAATGTTCAACGACCGGTTCTGCTTCATTGACCGGATGAGTTCCAATCAGCAAGAATTTCCGTTCTAGAATCAGTCACATTCTTCTGGGTCAACAGCTGACATCCACGTTCACATATCGACTGGCAAAACCATTTGCGCTCCTTCCGTCCGAAACTCGGGGAAAAAAGTTTGCTTGACTTTATAGCTAAAAGTCGTTACTAGTTCCTCCATAAACGATGGAAAAGTAATAACTCAGACTAAACAAAAAGTCACAATTGACGTAGTTGGTTCCAGTCATTCGATGAGTAACTTTCAAAAGCAATCCACTAGTCCCTGCGTTCGGCTCAATCCCGGCTAGAATGCTTCCCCATCTGCCTCTCAAAAATTTCTTAACACCTAGTGTGTCTTGCGTAAATGAAAAGCCCTCCAAGTCATACATCACAGACAACGGGAATCTATACGAAAATATCCGACATTTTAATGGTGTAAGCCGTGCATTCACCCTTAAATCAACCCAAAAGCTTATTTTCGTTGATGGTCACGAAATTCCTTTCTCTTCCATCACATATTTACAGTGACGTTATGCCTGGACGAAACACTCACACAGTCATTGCCCTCAATTAACCAAAAATCTGCTTCATTTTACAGGTACCTGCACAGAAACAAAATTTCTTGCTTACAGCGGGGGTCTTTCGAAGGACTGGAAAACTTACAGATACTGTGAGTCAGGCGTTACAAACGTGAACTCTTTTTATGGGCAGAAAAAATACAGTTTTGTTTATTGTCTACGCGTGTTTAGCATCTCAGGTACAGCGATTTGGTTCCCCGAACATATATTGAAGAAATGTAAAGGTTTGAACGTTACTTCTAACATGAGAAACACTCTTATATCTATCATCTTTGAATCACCTTGCATTACTCCCCGGGCAAACACATGGCGATTAAAACTTGTCTACTTTTTACCAACTAGTGTTTCAGATTCACAAATGAATTTCTTAGTTTCAAAAATGAAACCTAACCTTAGTTGCAGGTGGGGAGAATTCACGTTTACATTACTCTCATTTGAACAGTCATCCTCCTGTCCTGACGAGATAATGCTGGAGAGCACACAGCAAACAAGGGTATCACTCGACTAAAGTCTTACTCTAAGTAGAGCTCATTACCACCTTTCCGCTACTCCGTCGGCGAACGCCGAACGTGGCTGAATATTATGTCTGAGCAGCGTTTACGCTTGATCGATGTGAATGGTCTTTCGGCGACCCAGTGAATGTCCTGGTCGTCGATCGATTCACCCGTCTTTCGGGATTTTTCAGTGAGGTGGCGCAAAAATCGAGACCGGTGCTCTTTGGTGTGAACTCACCGGAGTTATTGCGCCAGGGCAGAAGGACTGTTCAAATGTACGATGTGAACGTGCGAATTAAACTTGTTTTGCCCAAGTCTTGAACCTGAAACGAGATATCTCGGTGGTTAGAGAGCGAATTTCCAGACAGGACGGTCCATGGTTCGAACCCGATCTCTGCCTCACGAATTCCCTGTCCGGACATGGGCAACTTGACAACATCTCAGCCCTCGTGCCTCCTTCTAGTGGTACGGTAGAAGAAAGGGTATCTCTCAGAGTCAGCATGTTTGAGTACTCGGTCAGGTAGCTGAGTTCTCACTGAGCGCTTCAATAAATGGAATAAACACTAGACTCACACCTTAAGAAGGATGGAATTACATGTAATCTGTAAACAGACTTCTGTTATGGTCCTTTTAGTTGAAAAATTCAATACTTATTATCGGAAATGTGCATTTAAGGTGACAGTGGGGTAAATTATGGTTTCGAACCGCCTGGTCCGCCATAGCCTTGAAGAACTCAAGAATCATATCCAAAACTTCCCCCTGTCAAGCAATGATAGATTCTCCAACCTTCTGAAACATCGTGATCCCTGACAAAGAACCAATATTGATAACTTTTGCCCCATCCTTTCTAAGGACTGTTCTTAGCAAGTCCAGTGATAAAATTCAGGGGAGTTGGAACCATTAGAGACCGAACAAAGTCTGTCACCACTAAACATGCGACTACAACCCGTTACATAGAAACATTTTTCACAGTTTAAAAATCGCAGATTCTCGGAATCAATCTTAATCACGCTGTTTTGCAATATAATAATCTCATTACCTGACAAATGTGTCATTCATATGTGTTTTGATACAGTCGAATTTTGTCGACTGTCTTTGTCCCAAAGTATAGGCCTCGGTCAGTTTTACCTTAGTCGATATATTGATAGAAAAAATAACCAATCCTTTCAATCTCGTCTCTTACACTGAAAACCAATTAAACCCTGTCAAGATGACCGACTAGTGTAAATATTTCGATCTGTCCTAATGGGCAAACCAGACAGAGTTATGTGATAGGGACTGCAAGGTGGCTGGTGAAAATCTGCCAAAATGTGTCTGAAAAAGGAATACTTGGTCAAGTGATAATTTTTTTCGGCGGGGGGGGGGGACACGAGACCTTAAGCAATTGGCCAGAAACCGAGAAGCATTTTGCTGGGGGTCATTTGCACAAACATGCACACAAGATGCACAAAATGCCTTCGACGTGCAATTAGTGCTGAATTTCGGTCGCGTGGCGACAGGTGTCTGTGACTCGCTGTTGGGCCCATTCCAGCAGTTTAGCCTAACTGTTAGTGAGTAAATGAGAAGGTTTTACCTCAGGAAAACACTATCGAGATTTCATTGATAATTTCAAGGTGAAATGTAAATGGTTAGAACTGTAAAAAAAATCTTAGTACGCCAACAGGTGCTGGAACTAAACACTTAGATTGATCCTAGTAACTATGTATGAGGAAGGCCAGATTCCTGAATGCAACCACTGGATGCCCGAAATCTACTGAGACTCTCGGCTCCGCTCGATGTTGACCGGAGACACAGCGCCCCCTCAATATGCAGCGCTTCACGCCCTGTATCAAACCCGGGCAGCGACAGTCAGCGTTGATCAAGGTCAGATAACGCCCACGGAATATACAGCGCGTCGCAGTCACGTACCAAAGCTAGACCGTGCGCGTCAGCACTGGACCAAGTTCAGACGGTGTCCCTCTAATAAATAGCTTGAGACCGTTGTAATTTTGCATTCGCACGCAACCACACTCTTGCACCCGCTTGTTCGGAATAGAGCTGTTGTGCTCGGTGCTTGCTAATCACAATTCATTTATCTCATTTCTTTTTGCAAGCTAGGATTCATCTCAGTGAATTGCTTTGAGCAACATTTTCCTGTTGATTTCTTGGCACCAAACAGCTGTCGGTATCTTAGCTTGACGTCAGTACCTACTAAATTAGAAAACTTGCAACGTGATGATTGGTTCTCAGTGCACCCAAGTCGCATCTGATTGGATGCTGAGATATGGCTTAGAGGACCGTGGAGCGAATGAGTCGACCGCTTCGTGTCACATGACAGACTTCGGCTGTACTCAAACGACTCCGCTGGATCAATGCTGGCAGTCTGTTGGGTGTTCGCTGGGGTACGTAAAACAACTCGTTCGGACCGATCGCGTGACCGGTGTCAATCATATGTGGCCCGACGAAGCCTTTGCTGATTTTTAACCACTTAATGTCAGACCTGTCGTTCCCGGATCCTAATAAGTTGAAAGCAGGTTGAGTGAAATTCACTGGCTTACTGTGTTTATCTCCCAAGACAGATCGATGACCCAACATTGTTTTCTATAAAAGAAATAAAAATTTGCCGACGTTCGCTGATGATGTCGGAAAGACCACCTTGCTGGGAGCGGTATTTGAAAGAATATATTCTATTCTCGGAAAACAGCTGCACGTGTTTTTTGTGCGGGGTTGTTCTACGATGAATTTGTTCACCTTTTACGACAAGGCAACTAAGATCAATCGAGTAACTTAGAGTTGCTAATCCGAAACGGGTTTCATACGAAATTTCTACCCATTTTTAATGACTACGATTAGACTAAAGATGATCGTTATGGTAAATAAACAGAAGGATAGTTTAGTTATAAAAACAAGCGTAATCATTCCACTCCCCTGAAGAGTTCAGTTATGCATGCAGTATTTAGTCACATACTTTAAAAATGAACGCTGCTTCCGATACATTGTGCGATTCCGGAAATGTTGCTTTTTCTGCTAATTTTTTTTGTTCAAAAAACAAATGGATTGATGTGGCATTTTCTTGTAAACCCAGTTCGATCTTTCCCCTCCGTAACTGAATGACAGTTGGTCGACTAATGCAATTGTGTGCAATTGTGCCCGCTGTTTGACTTTATTGTCACTTTTCCAGTCCGCGTGATTTTACACTGAACTATATGAGTTGTCGCTACGGCATGACGTTGGGGCGCTATCCGCACTTGATCGCTAAAACAGAGAATGTTCAATACGACAGCACGGTCTTACTTCGCCTCTCTTCATCATCTAAACATGCAGCACTTACGACCGTTTGACGTGCAAGTCGGCCGAAAATTAGGGAAAGCAGATCTCGGATGTCTTACACAGCGATATTTGTGTTAAAAACTTATCCATTTTGAAAACCCCTTATAAAAGTGTCAGTAGATGTTTGAATACTGAAATGTCCGAAGGAAATCTACTCACCAAATTGAACAGAGCGAACAGAAGTGCAAATTCAGGTTCCCTTCCGAGTATACTGTTAAGAAACCTAGTGGCGGTGGCATACTCCCGGGGACGTGAAAAAGTCGAAACGAAGGCTTTTATGTTGCGAGAGCGAATATCAGATTTCTATTCAATCTTGGTTGGGTAAAATCCACTTCTAAGTGTCTGTACGTCTACTATAACAACTGGATGTTTTAGGAATATCATTTGCTTCCCAGGTGAGTTCTTCCGGACTTCTGGTTTTAAGCCGATTGAAACGCGAAGATAATCGAACATTGTCTCGCCGTCTCTGATCGCAATAGGTTCGCCAATTTGTTTCACGTTTCTGGCGGAAGTTCTTCAGGTTTCCAGCTTCGGTTTCCTGTTAAACAATGTGGGATTGTCACGTGGCATTGTAATATTTGAGTGGACTGGAGCAATGCAGAGAGGGTTATCTGATTGCCCGGTGGGATGTTGGTGTCATATTGTCTTCCGCTTGGTAATCAGCTTGATAATTTCCAACCACTCATGAGCAGATGGCGAGATGGATCGAGTGGTTAGGGCGCGAATTTACTGACCGGGAGGTCCGTGGTTCGAACCGACCTCTGCCTCCCAACTCCCCTGTCTAGGGTTGAGGGACCTTACAGTATCCCAGCCCTAGTGTCTCCTTCGCGTGGCATGGCAGCTAGGCACGGAAAAGTGTTACAGCTGGACGAATACTATTACTATTACTACTATTATCATTTATTTTTGACCCAACTCCCTAGGGTTGAGGGACCTTACAGTATCCCAGCCCTAGTGTCTCCTTCGCGTGGCATGGCAGCTAGGCACGGAAAAGTGTTACGTTACAACGAATACTATTACCTTTACTACTATTATCATTTATTTTTGAAGAGCATGGTCACAAACATAAAAAGTGAGTGCAAGCGATGAATGCGAAAGAGTAACAGGAGAATATGGGAGAAAAGAGAGAAACGTCTCATTCGAGATCATGCCAAGGGCAGTGCCAGTCTGATGAGGTGAATCCCAAAGTATGTAAAGATTTTGGTATGGGAACACGCGTCTAAGGACCAACAACCAAAGAAAGGACAAACAATGGTGAATGCTCTTCAAGGCGCAGTGTGCGCTAGCACAGTCAAGACTCGCACATCAGGCACAAAGTGACCGTCATACTGAGTCTGGTGTGAGATTAAATGGCAAAAATGTACCTTCAACGCCATGTGCCACGCATAAAAGTGTCATAAGTACGCAGGGAACCCACAATGGCAAGCAAACACAAGTCACTGACTGCGACCTTAGGAAGTCCCAG